GAACAATGGCCCCAGGAATTTAGGCCCGAGGTAATTGGCTTCTCTCCCTTAGATTCTAAGATATAGAATTCCACGCTGTCAAGGCGAATCTTCTCCCAGACAGTTTCGGCACGAGAACCATTGTCCCTTTTCTCGTTGTCTTCAGGCTTTGACAATGGGGGCTACCATTGATAGAGACTCCAATAGGAATTGACTGACCAATCATTCCATCTTACAGGGAGCGTCCATCACACGCCTATCAATCCATCGGTGCTGTCTTGAATTCAAGCAAATGGACCCGATTTGAGAAAAACAACATTTGTGTGGTCTGGGCTAGCGAATGCTGCATTTTTTGAGTGATCGACCATTATCATTGTAAGGGACAACTGCACATTCATCAGTTTTTATTTCTGGGGTATTTCAGTTGTCATTCGATAAACATGGTATTAAACTTTTGGTGGCAGATTCACCAATTTGTCCATGTGCCACAATCAATCTTCCTGCAGATAATACATTTACCAGTTGCTTGTGAATTAATATGGCTTTAAGATTTATTCTTGTTGCAGTTCTGTTAATATATTTGATCAAATCTAAAAATAACAAGACTTTAAAAATTCATTTCAATTAAAGTGTTTTAAGTACATAAAAAAAAACGACAAGTGGATATAGCAGACTTTGTTTCCTACAGATGCCTCGAGAAATCTGCCTAGTCAATAATTTATTTTTTTAGAGTTACGTAACGATTCTGACTTGATAAGTTCGGTGTAATTAGCCAAACGGAAGCAGTTCCCTTTAACTGCCCAGTTTTTCATGGCACACTTTCAAATTTCGGTAAAACGGCTTGTCTTGGCTCGAACTTCACTCAATTTTCACAGCAGATCAAAATCTCCTAATATTTAATGATCTTCCCGTCATATCATATGTCATATCGCTTATTTCAATCGTTTTCAGCACGAAGTTTATCTTTCAAGCACGAATATGAGGGCTTAAAAAAGTATCAACCTTCTTAGATTAAGATAGCAGATGAACGGGAATGATTTTTTGGCGAAATAAGTGGTACCACAGAACAAGCAAGGTGTTTTCTGCATACCCAAGTCTACAAATTCTATGTAACTCAAGGAGGTGTTGGTTTCTGAACAAATTACAAAATCTGTCTGGTAAAGCAAGGTTTGTCTTAATACATGGAATACTAGTATTGAAAATTAAAATTCACATAATTAATATATATAAATTGGATCGAATTAAGTAGAAATAATTCTAAAGACTCTACGTACAATAGATGAGTCGCTCAATATCTTTGTAACAAATGGCGTTACGACGTATTTGTTAATTTGTTGGCAGTGATGACTTTCTGAGTAATGAGTACACTGCATGTAATTGGCCTGCATAAAAACAAATTATTGACTCAGTGTCTGTAAAGAGCTTGATAAGAAAAGGAGTCAACGTTTTGCGTGCTGGAGACAATCAAATACACCACCCACCGTCTCTTTACCCCCCTTTATAAATTACAAGTATACGAACCCACCCACCATCTGAAACCCGCATCAAACAAATTGAACCCACCAATAGCTCAACTTCTTATATTTGAAATAAAAGATATTTTTCTATGGTTAACTTAATGGATATTCAGAAGCATAAAACAGAAGAGTTATAACTGTTCAAGGTTGTAAGGTAATTTAAAAAAGAAGATGAAGACAAAAATAAAGGAACCCCACTAGTTTTATTCTACGTGAAGAGAATGCCCGTCAGGTTATTATAAACAAGTATGTTTATTCAGTCTAATCGCTGATGCTGTTTGATAAAAGTTGTATACTTTTCTATAAATTAACATGAAATCAGGTATAAAAGAGATACATTCCTGGATTCTTATACTCTGAGAGAAAATTGATAATTTCATAAAGTGAAATATTTGCATATTTAAATGACAGAGTCATATTATGTTACAAAAAGGTCCTGTAGTGGGAACAAAGTCAACGCGGAGGGAACTTTTCGATCAAAATTTATGATATCTTTCTTTTTCTTCTTTTTTTTAAAAAAAAAAAAAATTTTTTTTGTACTTTAAAAAAAGTTCGGTTCATGGGCCACTGCACTCATTTGAGTCCCATTTTCCATCCTGAAAAAGGATATTTATCTAATGATTCCACTTATTGTGGCCCAAAATTTGGCGCGTGTTTAGAACACTTCTTATCTACGGATATTGATGAATGTCCGATTTTCAAAGTCTAGACGTTAATTGAGAAAAAATGCACATTCTTACATGTATGTAACACTTTGACCCCTCTTCCCATATTGCCTCCTATTTCCTTGCGATACTGGAATATTATTGGACAATCAATTTGTTTTACTGTTGTACAACTTTTCTATGGATTCTTAATGTGAGCCCGTCATATCTCCAAAGAGTTACCATTGGCGCATTTAATTCTTCATTAAATGAAGGTGTTTACATGCTTCACCATTAAAATTTTGTGGTTCTGTTTTTTCGTAATAAATATTTCATTAATAATTAGAGTCGATCAAATTGCGGGCTAACAGCATATAAATGTTTTTTTCCCAAATAAGTTCAAAACTTTATATTGTTTTATATTACATGTATAGATATCTAAATTTAATATACATGCAAAGACACCCATGCAACTTGAGTGTAAAGTGTGTATGAGTCACCAGAGACTGCCTGTGTTGTGGTCCTGTTGTTTTCGATTTTTTTTGTTTAAGCTTGTTCTTGTATATATTGCCGTGAAAGTTCTGGTGTTCATAAATGGAAAAAAATTGAGCAAAAACGTAAGAAAGCATCTATATGTATATTAATGCCCTTTTAAGAAAATTTTGAAACTGGGTGATCAGTTCTGAAAAAGTCGAAAAAAGCAAACAGACAGACAGATGGACAGGCAACAGAAAGAGCTCGCATGTGTCTTTGTGTCTCGTGATTTTGTTTTTTAAATACAGACGTGTTTACATGGGGAAAGATGGGGGCTGTTAGTGAGGGGAGGGGGTCTGAGTTTGACATTTCTTACATTTTTTTTTTGTTTTTGGCTGATTAATGTGATCTGTAGAATTGATTATGTATAAAATTTCATACAAATATTCTACTTGCTGCAAGTTTTAAAAATTGTTAATCTGGGATTTGTTGTACAGATCATTTTAAACCCCCCTCCCCCCCCCCCCCCAAACGTGAATCTGATCCCGAGTGATGTTCTCCCACGCTACAAGGCCAGTGCCCCTTTATCTAAGTTTAATTAACTATAACAAAGTTAATACGGTTTTTTTTAGCATCGATTTTCTTCAACAGCAAAAGGATGTTCAATTATAGAACAATTTAATAAGGGTAAAGATTCATCGAAAACTTGTTGATAAACTCAATTGAAGTCTCAATACAATTTAATAGATGTAACAAGAGAATCAGAAGGTTTATGTCACGATTGACTTTTATATGTGATTAATGGATATTAAAACGGATATATCCACAAATGAAGAAAAGGAACCCAAAATCCCTGCGTCATTGCTCAAACAGCATACACTGGTCACCTGATGCGGTCCTTGACTTTTGAGATGATCGGTCTGTCGATACATAATGATTCTGTATAGTATCGGTTGACGCCGAAATCATTATGGAGAATTGCTCTTTCCAATATTTATGGTGTATTATGCAAATCTTAAATGTCAATTTATTGTCTATCAGTCTCTTTTTTTCTGTTTAACACGACAGAGCAATGATGGACTTTCATTCTCGTCACAGTTGCAGAAAAAAATTCAATGTCAACTTTTTACGACTGTCTTTGAATGGATGCTTCATAGGTGTTTTTTTCAGTCTGTTACGTCTATAAGATACATAGATTTCAGCCATGAAGTAGACCAGGCAGACACAGTGATCATTGTGCGTTCCAATACACCTCCAGGACTACAGTACAACTACATGTAGTTCTTGTGAATGTACAAATTGAAGTCCTGTATATATTGACGTAGGCAACAATATGCATCTACCCTCACTGCATGTATAATGTCGTCCATTACCACATACCCAGTTGCAAAATTATGTATAGGACAATATGTACATACTCTCAACTCACTGCATATATACTGTCGCCTACGTTGGACGACCATATGTGCTGATGCAAGATACATTTTTGACACCCGATTTGCACATATATGGCAAGAATTTGGTGCTGACTTTAACCAGTGTTCAATTGTAACCAGTAACATGGGTTACGTAACCTTTTCACTGGAGGTATTTTTTCATTTATTCAGTTTTTAATTGGTTACACTGGTAACAATGGTTAGAGTGGATACAAATTGATAAGTTATTATCTTCATTTGTAACCAGTAACACAGGTTACATAAGCTTCTGATGAATAGCATTTTTCATTTTTTTTTTTACACTGGTTACAATGGTTACATTGGTTACATCTCTATAGATCTACAAAATTCCCCTTGAGTTTAAGATGATTTGATATCATTGTAACCGATTGTCACCAAAGGAATATAGTTGTAACCAGTGTAACCTAAAAATAAAGACCCCTTTCGGTTTCAGATGATCTGTAACCACTGTAACTGATTGTCACCAAAGGAATATATTTACAAGTACATGTAACCAGTGTAACCTGAAAAAAAAGACTCCTTTTGGTTTCAGATGGTTTTAAACCATTGTAAAAGACTCTTTTTATATATAGTAATATGATATTTTTAAAATGTGTTAATTTCAACGATTTCTTTTTATTTTAATTTTAATGAGTGTATTCTGATACACCTAGAAAAACATATAATACACAAAACACACCTTCCTAAACCAAACGCCTTTGAGAATCTAGTCACAAATTGTCGCCAGTGTCGATATTAATTTGTGCAGTAAGGATAAGTACATGTATATATTGTCAATATATACATGGCGACATAATGTCTAGTTCTTCGTTAATGCAGTTTTATGTTATATAAATGATTTTTTTACTGACATTATTTATTTTTATCGGAGTCGGAGTACATCTGTCAATAATCGATAAATTTATGAAACGTAAACATCCGTTGAAGAGCTCCTCTAAGGGAGGTAATCGCGAAATGTATTTACAATGGCGTTTCTGGTCGAAAATGGTAGAATAAGTTTGAAAAGTTTTCTGGGTGGGGCCTGCATCGTTTTTGTGCCATGGATATCGTACCTAGGAACTAGTTTTGACTACCTATATGCATACTTTTGGTTCTTTCTTTTTTTACTGTATGCAATTTTATACAATGGTGTGTTGGTGCTGCTCAGCTACATCACAACAGGTGGTGTCCACGGTAACTTCTACAAGGTACACACAGGAAAAGTACTGTAAACTAACCATGATCAGAGTGTTGTTCAAAATTGATTTCATTTGCTTTTATTTTGCATGATATTGGTACCGGGATACTGCCATTATATTGTGCAATTATTTATAATAATTCAGTGATGAATCTGAAAGCATGTCTTATTTTCACTTGCCAAATAATTTTGAAAGATAACCGTTTGCTGCAGTAACATGTGAAGTAAATTTGGTGATGTTTTTTATAATATCTGTTTTATATAACTAGAATAAAAATAATTCATGTAAAAGAAGGAGATGGATTTTCCTCGAAGAAATGATGCGAACAGGTGAAGGTAAAAGTATAAACACAGTAAAAAAAAATACATGTGTCATTGCTAAATTTACGCATCTGTATTTTACCAGGTGGCAGTACGAGGTGGCTTCTTGGGGCTTGTGTTTGGACTTGGGTGTCTTATCAGCCTTTCTAACACCACGCTGACTCATTTTGGGTGGTACCTGATGGCACTCAGCTTCTTCCATTTCTCTGAATATTTGACAACAGCAGCTACAAATCCTTCCTCACTCACCCTTGACTCGTATCTGCTTGACCACAGTCGCGAGTATAAGTTGGCAGCAGTAGCTAGTTGGCTTGAGTTCCTTGTAGAATGGTATATAGCACCAGGTATTGTTCAAATGTCATGTAGAATTTATATGTAAACATAAATTAATGTATTTCTTTTGGCAAAAATGTATATTTCTGAAATTCATCACTTTGTGTACATAAGGTCTGTATAACACAATGTTTATTTTAGGTTTAAAGCAGTATTATTATATAGCTGTCATTGGTGTAGTACTAGTCCTGTTTGGAGAATCTCTGAGAAAAGCCAGTATGATTACTGCCTCAACAAATTTTAACCATTATGTACAGTATGTCAAGAGACCAGGTCATCAGCTGGTCACCAGGGGAGTGTACTCCTGGTGTCGACATCCGTCCTACGTTGGCTGGTTTTATTGGAGCATAGGAACACAGGTAATGTCAGGTCATGAGTTTCAAGTGTGATAAAATCATGTATCATTTTAACATTTTATAAAAACGCATATTTTATGCATGATCTACCATATTTGATCGAATTAAGATAAACATGTTTGACAAGCATTGGATAAAGATATGAAAAAGCAACTTTTACAATGTATTTCTCTTCAAGCTTATAGAAATCAAAGAATTTTATGAAGCAATTTACTCTCTACCATCGGCTCATACATTCACTTCTGTTGTTGGCTTGTCACAGTGTTAAAGGTGCTTAGACACAGATTTGAAGTTTATATTTTCTCAAATTTTCTGTATAATATCACGACTTATATATTGCAATAGCATTTCACATGAAAATATAATTAAAAACTTATTTTATCTGGAAATTATTGGAACTACGAATTCCTGGACGCGTTTGATTTACACATCCTTGCACTTTCACAAATTTTATCTTTATCCCTAACATTCAAGAAAAGAAGCGATTCTGTTGTGTATTAATGAAAAACATTACATCTATAATCCAGAAAATTCAGAGTAGAAATGTGCGAAAGCAAACCCCCTCACTAATATCGTCAGCCCGTGCTCAGTGTTGTGTACAGAGTTTAACAAATTGAATACACCCGTGAAACGTAAACTGTTTTTGTAAACAGGGCACAAGCTCTGTTATTGTTAATGTTTACGATTCACCGGGTGTGTTCAATCGTTAAAGTCTGCACACACCACTGAGCACGGACTGACAATACTGTGAGTGGGTTTTGCTTTCGAACATTTCTACTCTGAATTTTCTGGATTATAGTTTTAATATTTTTCATTAATACACAACAAAATTGCCACTTTACTTAAGTATTAAGAATAAAACTAAATATTGTGAAAGTGCAAGGATGTGTCAATCAAACGCATTCAGAAATTTGAAGTTTCAATAACTACGAGGTGAAATAAGATTTTTATTATATTTTAGTATGAAATGCTATAGCAACATATAAGTCATGAAATTTTACAGAAAATTTGAAAAAATATTAACTTCAAATCTGTGTCCAAGCACCTTTAGGCACAAGAAAGTGTGTTTGTTTTAATTCATTATAATTAAATTCCTGCACTAATGTTTGTCTTTTAAGGTAGATCTAGAACTATTAGTTTAATTTGAAATCATCCTTGGAATGTTGTGGGTGTTTTTTTGCTTTATGTCAAAATTCTTGACGAGAGCCCCTTGCAGAGGTGTTTGAGAGAGGAACGAACAACAACTCTGCAGGGAGATTAGCAGCTATTATCATGTTATTATCATTTTCTGCCCAGAAAATAAAACTTTAATGGAGAAAATTATTATTAGGTTTTATTTGACTGGAATGTCTGTAGACATCAATTCATTAAAATTCAGCATTGTTTGACTGTCCATCTATATAGGTGAAGTTCAGCTTGTAGATTCTTTTCTGGCTTATCTAGAAGGGATATCCAGACTTTGTAGGGTGCATCTGGGTTTTCTATATGCACATTTTGATTGTGACCCTGGTAGGGGTATCAGTCTTGTTAGGACAACTCTAATTCAGGGTTGTCCCTAAGACCTGGGGGGCTGGGAAATTTCCCCGCCTATATTGGACATAATCTTCAGGCTTCTCTGGTATTCCCCCTCATTCCTCTGTTAAGGGAGGAACCCCAGACCCCCTTCAACTTTTTTTTAATGTCCCCTGCTATTTTTAATTCTTAGGGACAACCCTGTTAAATTAATCATCATAAAAATTTGACTGAAAAGGGAGAGGGGAGTATGTGGATGCTGCACATAATCCATTGAGGAACAAATTTTTAAAGTATGTCTGGATTGAAGGTTTGTGTATACATATGTAAGCATGCTAATAAATTAAGAGTATAAATGTATAAATTTCATTTTATTTTTTCAGCTAATATTAGGAAATCCATTCTGCTTGATAGCCTATACAATAGTGTCATGGAGATTTTTCCGAGAGAGAATTTATGAAGAGGAAATTTATCTTTTGAACTTTTTTGGTGAAGATTATTTAGACTACCAGAAATCTGTAGGGACTGGTTTACCCTTCATTAATGGTTACACAGGCTACTCAGCTTTGTGAAATCTAGTCCAATTTTAATTCAATTTTTTTCCCATGTTTAATGCATTTTAACCTGTTTAACAAGCATACAAAATATTTTGAGATTTTTGGTAATAACAATTTGTTAAGCTATTTTCATTCCTTTTTCTATATGTTTTTATATGATTGCATTATTACAAAGAATATATAAATATACTCAAGTCCAGGAACAACAGTTATAAACTGTTAGATGCCGTATTGTTCTGTCTGCTGGTAGATATTCCAAATGTCTTTCTGGTTACTGGCATTTATATTGTAAGAGCACTCAGTCATAAATGATTGAAATATTTTTATGAAGAACAAATGATGCAACTTGTGTTTATTAAAGGTTTATTTTAAGTTTGTTTTTTTAAATGATGATTTAATTATGAAAAAAATGGCAGAATTGTTTTGATACACTTGAGATTGTAGCAGAGTTGTTTGATACACTAGAGAGTGTAGTAGAGTTGGTTTGATACACTAGCAAGTGAATCAGAGTTGGTGTGATACACAAGAAAGTGTAGCAGAGTTATTTTGGTACACAAGAAAGTGTAGCAGAGTTGTTTTGGTACACAAAGTGTACCAGAGTTATTTTGGTACACAAGAAAGTGTAGCAGAGTTGTTCTGATAAACAAGAGAGTTTAGCAGAGTTGGTATGATAGAGAGTGTAGCAGAGTTATTTTAATACACAAGAAAGTGTAGCAGTGTTGTTTTGGTACATTAGAGTGTGAAGCAGAGTTGTTTTGATACACTAGAGAGTAAAGCAGAGTTGTTTGATACACTAGAGAGTAAAGCAGAGTTAGTTTGATAGAGAGTGTAGCAGAGTTGTTTTGGTACACAAGAAAGTGTAGCAGAGTTGTTTTGATTAGTGTAGCAATTGTTTTGATACACTTAAGAGTGTACCAGAGTGTTTTGATACACTGGATAGTGTAGCAGAGTTGTTTTGATACACTGGAGAGGTTAGCAGAGTTTGTTTGATATACTAGAGAGTGTAGCAGAGTTGGTTTGATACATTTGTGAGTGTAGCAGAGTTGGTTTGATACAATAGAGATTGTAGCAAGAGTTGTTTTGGTACACTAGAGTGTGTAGCAGAGTTGTTTTGATACACTAGAGTGTGTAGCAGAGTTGTTTTGATACACTAGAGAGTGTAGCAGAGTTATTTTGATACACTAGAGAGTGTAGCAGAGTTATTTTGATACACTAGAGAGTGTAGCAGAGTTGTTTTGATACACTAGTGAGTGTAGCAGAGTTATTTTGATACACTAGAGAGTGTAACAGAGTTGGTTCAATACACTAAAGAGGGTAGTAGAGTTGGTTTGATACACTGGTTTGATACACTAGAGAGTGTACCAAAACAACTCTGCTACACACTCTAGTGTATGAAAATTTGGTCCAAAATCTAAGGATTAAATAATAAAAAATTCTGTAAACACCATTTTAATAAATTTTAGCCATCAATGGACCAGATAATTTAAAATTCCTGCAGAGTCATGCAAACATGTTTTGCTGCTGTGATATGCATTGCTGTGTATCAAATTTCAATCCAATATTTCAAAGTTTAATCCAAAACATTTTCTTAAATTAAAATGAAGAGAGGGCCATACCATGAAACTTCACATGCAACTCTTTCATGCACATTAGCAGGCAAATCTCAATCCAAAGCCTAGATATTTGATAAAAATCTTATGAAAACAAAATTCTTATAAGATTTAATGAATGACTAAAATCTGAGATGAAACTCTATGCTATCTGCAACTCATTTACATATATGAAACAAGTATGTATCCATGCACAACAATATACTAAATTCATTATCAAAAACCTGAATTTAAAAGCATTAAGAAACAAAAGTGGTGGACAGTTTGAGAAAAACATCCAGTAACAAAATACCAAAAAAAGAAAAAAAGAAAGAAATAGAATGCTGAGTTTTCATGAGTATCAAGCAATAAAGAGTTGTAAGACTTACAAAAGAGTTGAAATCCCATTACATTGTACTTCAAATTTGATCTACAATTCTGATATGCAAAGTAATGTGTCAAATCCCAGTCAAATTAAGTATGGCCCTCTTGTTTCTTGAGAAGAATTTTCCTATTTTATATTAAATTGGATACTAGTCCCTATCATAGCCCTGCACCATACAAAGTTTTGTAATTTTTTTTGTATTTCCTTGTATGTGCTTTTGTGTAATTTTTTTCACCATTTTTACTTTCTATTATCTTCCCTTGATATGTAAGGGCCTTCAACTGAACAGTCTCAAATTCCCTTTACTGAAGTATGTTTTGGGCCAAGTTTGGTTGAAATTAGCTCTGTACTTGTTAAGAAGTGGTCAAAAATCTGAAAAGTTATCAGATTTAAAACAAGATCAGCTTTAATTAAGCTGTGACCTTTGGTTCAGTTGAGTTAAAAACCAAGACCCGATATAAATTGAGCAGAGAAAGCAGGATCTTTACTGATTGGACATTAGTCCACCTTCGTTCCACTTTACTAAACAAGGTTTAAAGCAAAACTTTCACATATTAATAGCTGTATTGATCCGAGTCTACACATGCACATGTGAATGTGTGTAAAATTACTTGTAGTCCACTCTAACACTCAACTGAAGTCTTCTAACCTCTTACCTTCAGAGAAAAAAAACCCACAAAATTTTGTAACTATAAAATAGTTTACCGCGTTGTTTTATAACAGTTAATAATTAAAGCAAGAGAGGACCAGCCTCCAAAGTCTAAAATAAAATGTTTAATATAGATAATAAATTGTTGGAATTCATTAAATCAAATGGAAAATGAAAATGTACATGTATTTTATAAAGACAGTTAAGCCTGGAGGTAAATAATGAAGACATTAGTGGAAATGATAAAAAATAATAAACATAAATAAAAAAACAGGCATGGTACAGATAGACATATGCATATATATAAATATATATAAAAATAGGTGTTACAAACAGGAATAAATCATCATAAAATTATCACAGTAATCAACAAATAAATGTCAAGTTTGTGAAAAAATATTAGCAAATTAGGTACACTGTAGACTGTTGTTTTTATACAATATACATGTTCTTCCTTATATAAATCAAAAAAGAGGGCATATTTGGGATGGAAAACAGTTAACAAAACTTCACATTTATTCATATTGTTAGAAAACTAAATAATCATGTTCTAACAAATTTAATGCATGATACTGTGGAAAGTTCATATATGTTGATATAAAAAAGAAAATTTCGACAAAAAGTTAAATTGCCCGGGGAGGATCACTTCCTCAATTGATTCCCTTCTTTATGTCATCAGACGAGCCCCCAGATGAGCCTGGATCTGAGCGAAGGGAAGCTCGAGATCCAAATGAGTCTTTGGGGGCCATTTTATTGAGTTTCTCCAGTGTAGTGAGGGAGGGAAGAGCTGGGACAGGGGTATGGTCATCCTTAGAATTCATCACCTGTAGGCCTGTAGCATAACAAAACACTTCATTTTATTGACTCAGAATATAAGAATGACCAAGTATGTTGGAAGTAGATGTTTGACATTATAATTACAGAGCAATACTTAAAATAAAACTTATTTGTATCTTTCACATACATAATGCACACAATTAAAAACCTCTTTCACAGAAGAATAAATAAAGATACTGAGTTTTTTCATCTTAATGCTATTTTGCTCTGTTACACTGTACCTTGATCAGCCATGTCCCACGCCTCTCTGTCAGCAGAATTGTCCATTATGTATTCCAGAACCCGGTCTAACTTCAGGCGCCGAGCCCGCACACTGTAAAATAAAAGTTTTTATGTAAAAGCACAAACAATATTCAATGTATCTAAGGAGGCAACTCAACATCAAATATCATATGTGTGGATTTATAAAAAGTTCAACAAATCATCTAATTACAGCGGCCATTTAAATTTTTATCTTTCCTGGTTCAAGTCCAGAAGAGCTTTATTTGCAACAGTTAAGTGTCCATTGTCAGTCTGTGTGTGAATAAATTTTCAAATTGCTACTCCTTTAGTAATTTTGCCAATTCCAATAAATCTTGATGCACAAGTAGAATTGAACTTTGTCAAGATGCATATTTCTTTTAAGTTTGATGAATGGTGTTGCATCTGTTACTAAAAATAGAATATGTTTTAAGGTAGAACCTATGTCGGAAAAGTCTTTGTCACAAGATTTTCAAACTTTTCAAAATGATAAATTAGCACTCGCTTATCAATCAGTTAAAAATATATAAAATCTTTCCTTGTTATTAAATGTAGTGCAGCCAGTGCAACTTGGAATGATAATCTTACATTGCGACTACATATTTTCAGCCATTTTTAGGGGTACTGGTCATGAAGAGAATATAGAAAATCACAAAAATACTTCTTCAAACATCGTCGTTTATAGACTTTATTAACTGAACCGTATTAAGCAAAATTATTTAAGAATAAATTCTTTTTATTCAATTGACATAAAAGATTAAGTCCACATTTCAACGAATATAGGCAAATATGCTCAATATTTTTTGAGTCAATTTACCACCCAAATTTGTAAATATTTTTCAAAAGTCTTTGTCAGAATGTTTTCAATCTTTAATATGATGAAGAACATACCCAAATGATTACAAAAAGTGATTAATACATATACATGTATCTTTCCCCACAAACGAATGAGAGACCCTCTATTTATCAATACTTCTTTTGTTGACCTTTTTGGACTTACACAGGATTTAATTATTAAATGACTGTGTTAGGGTTATGTTCATTTTACAATGTGAATATTTATCAAAAAATGTTTTGTTTTTTATTTAAAAAGATAATATTTTAGGGAAACATTATTATTATACACCAACCATGATGAATAATTAACAAATAATTATGAAAGGAAATGCACATGATTTCATGATAGACATTACAAAATATACACACAATTTTTAACAGATCTTTGACTCAGACACATTTCATCAAGATATTGTACTACATGTATTTAGATATTTCTTACGATTTTTGCATTCCTTCAAAATAGTTGCAATGCATTCACATTATCACAGCTGTGTAACTTCATTACATGAGACAGTCTTGGAGAAAGTACGGGAAAAAGTAACTTTAAATTAATTATGATGTCATAATGGATCTAGCACCAAAAAAGACAGTCTAAACTCATTTACTCGATATGACGTCACACGACCTAGGTTCTACGTTAACTGTCCATGTTTTCATGATAAGATTTTGAATTTTTATGAATGCTGTTAATAAAAACAGAATTATCTTTCAAATCATGAAAATATCCTACTAGTCCAACAGCTTACATTTGATATGGACTAACCTGATATGAGGGTAAGCTTCATAGACAAACGCAGCACAGTTAAGGCTGCAATAAGGAGGCGGGGCCTAATTTTTATGGGAAATGCTTACTATGATATCACACAAAAATACATGTTCTTCAAATTACCACAGAATGAAATGATATGCTATTTTAAACTGTTGGATAGCTTTAAACTACATCAATACTTACTATTGCATGTATTTTTGTTGTTGGTTAAATCCCACACAAATAATATAAACAATTCACTGATCGCAATGCACTTGTCAATGTGACGTCATATCGTAAAATTTGACACAGTTTGTATGCAGTGAGAGGCGGATCAAGTTATATTTTATACAATGAAAAATGTGTTTTGTAATTAAATAAAATATTATTTGCAGATATATAAGAGGCCATTAACCTGGATGCGATGTCTATTTTATGATTTTATTCGTATTCTTCCCGTACTTTCCCTAGACAAGTGAAACTGCCGTACATTTGTATGCAGATTCATTGAAGGGTAATAGAAGGGTCGTAATAAATCAATATATTGCAAGGGCATACCCTCAATGAATTACGACAAGCTTTTACACATAAACTCAAGAGGTTTGAAGATATTTGAAAAGTGCTGCGAACCTGATGAAATCTTGCAAATGAATTAATTATATCTACATTTAATGTACTTGACCAGCAAAATATTCAACATATGGTCTAACAAATGTTATTTAAGCAATTATATAGTAGAATCTATATACATTCGCAGCACTTTTCACAAACTACAAAGAGTGTTGAAAATAGTTATAAATTAAACTTAGATTTTTAACTTGGTTTTGCCCTTACAATTTTAGAATTTATAGATGACCTCAATACTGCAGGTATATTTGCTAAAATCACGTGACTGCCACATTACGTAACAAATCTAAATAAGAAATATTAACGTCCTCAACATGTAGTTTTAAGCCACATTACATTTGTCTGATAATAGTAAAGGCCTAAAAAAGAATCGCCCATCCTTGTAAAGAATGTATTTTCTGTCTAAAAAAATCGCCGATATTTCCATTTGGCACCTTAACTGTACTGCGTACACCCTCTGATTTAGAAATTTAAATATTTACAACTCACCGTAGGTCTGTGGCCTCCAGCATACAGAAGATGATTTTGGCCACAACCTTCTGCAGCATTGGGTCCTTGGTTCTGGCAAACATACTCAGTGACTCCTTCAACATGGTGTGATCCATCAGAAGTTCACATGTCTGTAAGCAGAGGAATCAATAAACCTTTAAAAAGGCATTTTTACATGTGGGTTTTTTAAAAACGTGTTGTCACAAATTTTTATGATTTATCACAAAGTAAGGCATGACTTGCATGTCTATTTTCTGCGTAGTAAAGGAGAATTTTTCCAGCCAAAAGGAACAACTTTTCGTCCATGGTATTCATAGGAAGCTCCAGAAGAACCTCCAGTAGATTTTCCTAGGGAATTAAAAATTGCAATTTTTACCAGAACAGTTATTTTTTGGTAAATCTTGTACTGTGAATGCAGATATAACTATTTTTTAAGCAATAACATACTTGGGCACAGATCATGTCAGAACTTTCTATTGCCAGAAGTTCTAGTGTTTGTAAAGCATATCTTTGAGTCTCCACGTCATTACTTCTACAGAGGTGGATTAAGGCCTGGGCTGGAGAAAAGAAATATTTCAAATGTCAATTCTTTGTATCATTAAACATAAAATGTAAAGAGAAGCCTTCAATATCAAATTTACAGAACTTCCAAGTTGTTATCATGCCAGAGCTAATATCTCTGACATGACTGTAACAATTATTGACTTGGTCACTAGTTATGTCCCTTGACGATTTACCTGGAATATTCCTGGAAGTGATCTGGACTCTGATGTCTCTGTTGAATGCCAGATCCAGAAAGATACTGGCAACTGTTCTCTGACAGGTTATTGTTCCTTGGTAAGCGGCATGGGCCAGGTCATCCAGACTGGAATAACACACATTTCTATATAAATTACCCGCCATAATATTAACAATAATCATAGAAATAATCTACAAAGAGCCATTGTATTAAATGCATGGTTCATTGATTTTTTTGCTAGGCTGAAAACATATGGACTTTTAGATGTACACAAAGTCATGACTCTCATCCATTCTGTGAAAACAAACAACAACTGTAAACATTAAAAACTCTTCATTTCTTGTACAACATTACATAGGTGATCCCCATGTAATTCTGTAAATGACAAATGATAAGTATATATAAGTCTACCCCTCTGTAATATAAAATCTTATAGAGGGGTAGACCTATATATACTTATCATTCATCATTTACAGAATTACATGGGGAGCCCCTATGCAACATAAGGCTACATTTACCCATGGTCCATGACTACAGCACTCTTGTGTTCATCAGACTCTGACACTATTCCGTAAATGGCATTAGCAGCTTCCTGCATGATTCGGGAATTCTCCGAGTGAAGCAGTGCCGTCAAAGCCTTCACTCCTCCCATCTCCACAAAGTTGTCCTAAAAAATAGGACACATAACATACAGTGAAAACCAATATCTAATATTTTGAAACAAACCTTGCGCAATGACACAGCTCCACTGAACAATATAATAAACACACAGCTGCAGTAATTTCTTGTATGAATGGGAAGGTGATGATTACTGGTATGGAGGGGATAGTGATGAGTTTGAATTACTTGTATGGAGGAGATGAGTAATTACCTGTATGGAGGGAATTGTGGTGAGTAATTACTTGTATGGAGGGGGTAGCAATGAGTTTGAATTACTTGTATGGAGGAGATGAGTAATTACTTGTATGGAGGGAATTAAGGTGAGTAATTACTTGTATGGAGGTGGTGGTGGTGAGTAATTACTTGTATGGAGGAGATGAGTAATTACCTGTATGGAGGGAATTGTGGTGAGTAATTACTTGTATGGAGGGGGTGGCAATGAGTTTGAATTACTTGTATGGAGGAGATGAGTAATTCACATATGGAGGGAATTGTGGTGAGTAATTACTTGTATGGAGGTGGTGGTGGTGAGTAATTACTTGTATGGAGGAGATTAGTAATTACCTGTATGGAGGGAATTGTGATGAGTTCTTCTAGAGCTTCCACTGCATGCTCCTGTGTCCCTTCATCTGTACTCATTGCAAGAGCAAGCAGAACCTCCAAACTAAATCAACCGGAAAAGGGTTTTTAGTAAGAAAAGTTATAACAGTAGTATATTAAAATTCTACAATGTATTTAGTCTGTAAGGATATTATGTTCAGAAGCACAGTTAACGTACCCTCCTTCTGCCACAATCCTGAATTTGTTGTCGTCACCAGAGGCTGCCATGGCTGCCAGCTCATAGGCCGCTGTTCTCTTGTCCTTCAGTCTGAAATAACAGGTGAGGATTGATGATTTTTTACAAATACAACAAGAACAGTGGATAAGTTGATTACACATACTCTTTAAAAAGAGAGCTCACCTTCCATTGCGAGCTGCTGCCATCACCATTTCAATATCCCTCTCCTGAACTAGAAATTGTTCAATATAATCTCCAATCTGCAGAGAAAAAAAAAAAAACAAAGTTCTGAAAATTTATCTTCAATGTGACAATACAAGTATTCTGACATATACATGTAAAATCTAAGGATAAATATACATGTAGTTTTATGTCTTAGATTTTACCTCCAGTCTGAAGCTGAAGAACAGGACTCCCACAACAATGGCTGACAGAAGGAGAAGAAGGGACTGCATGGCAAAGAATATAGCAGTAAAGACATTCTTATGAGAGCAGTCACTGACAAATTCCCAGTCCTTACAACCATGATTCTGAAATACAATGCAGTCTTATTTAGATGTCAAATACAATACAACCTTATTTAGATGGCAAATACAATACAATCTTATTTGGATGTCAAAATCAGGATTTTACTTTTGTAAAGCCTAGTTTTCAAGCTTTTCTTTGCACAAAAACAGAGAATTGAACTAGTATCTTGAACACAGGAACATCAATATCTTTAATACCAGGGATATGCCAAAGTGAGTTTAAAGTTCCAACCACTTTTACTTTCTTTATGTGTTTTAACCACAACATCTTGAATCCTCGGATATCTCGAAGCTTTTTTCCTCTGCCAATCACATTTGAGATAAAAGACTTACCACAATCACCATCCAGGATGTGGCAGACATGTAAATAGCCGCTCCCAGTGTCCCCAGTGAAGCCAAGAAGTACGCAATACAGAAAATAAACCTCCTGTAAACAAAGTACTTGACAGTGGCCAAGAAGTATGCAATACAGAAAATAAATCTCCTGTAAACAAATTATTGGACAATGGCTTAGAAGTATGCAATACAGAAAATAAACCTCCTGTAAACAAATTAATTGACAGTGGCCTAGAGGTATGCAATACAGAAAATAAATCTCCTGTAAACAAATTAATATTATTTTCATATTCATTGAATTTAAATTAAACACAAACTGACTTTCAGACAAATAACATTTATCAGTGACTTACAAATGAGTGTTATTTCCAACATATCCTCCAACTCTTGTGTACTGAGGGCGAAACAAAACTGCAAAAATAAAAACTGGGAAGGTCCACAGAAAAGAGTAGTAAAAGGTTGTCACCAGGGTCAGACAGGTGGTCAGGAAGTGCATGTACAAAAGGCCCTAAAAACAAGATAAGAGTAAACAATAGCCCATGCAGTAACAAGTTTGGAGTAAACAATAACAAGTTATAGAGTAAACAATGGGCTCTATAATAACAAGTTATAGAGTAAAGAATGGGTCCTACAATAACAAGACATAGAGTAAACATAACAAGTTATAAAGTAAACAATGGGTCCTACAATAATAAGTTATAAGGTATCTTATAGATGTGTCTAAAAAATGTGTAGGAACTGTATGAAAACAGCTGTTTATACAAACTGTCTATAAACAAAGGTAAAATATCTTCACTCAAAGATTTTGATGCATTTGAAGCATATAAACATACACTGCAGCTTAAAATTTTAGCATAAATGAAACTGCTAATTGACAATGTGTTATCCTAAGTGCATTATTTAAGAAAAGTATTCATCATTATAGGCATAGCTATATCACAATCTGTAAATTTAGTTTAGATTACATTAAAATCCTTCAGAAGTTTCTCTCTCAGTGTAAATGCTTTAATTTCCTTGTACAGTGGGGCCTTGACATCAGTTGTTTCATTAGCATTCAGATCCAGGTTGACTGTAGAGGATCCTGCCACAGACTGCAAGTCAGACATGGACTGAAATGGTAGCATAAGCATTTAGTTCACATTACTCTAAATACAATGTACATAGTATTTTTGGTTACGTAATGCAGTTTCAATTCTCAGATATGAGTACACTAATTCATGAAAAAAACAACAACAATATGTTACAGATTCTATTTGCCATAACATTCAAGATACAAATTTAAGGGTGAAAACATGCCATGGTGAAGCATATAGATTCATAATATTAATTCTCAATAAACAATACTCTGTCTTATGGCTGGTACATGTAAGTTAATAAGGTAAAGAAATTGAGAAAGATTTTTGCTTCACTTATTCTTATTTGACATTTGAGGAAAGTATCATGGAATTCATACTTCAGATTTCTTTGATAAAGGAATCATCTTAATCACAGAATTGTCAACAATCTCATAATCTCTAATGAGAAAGGCATCCCTGAGATACTGTCCCTTGTAGCGAAGTCTGAACTGGTGATCTGGATAGCCAATCTCAAATAACTTGTGCAGCATGCGGGCTCGGATCCGAGCAATTTTGTCATTGAAATTCACAACAACAACAAATGTTCGGTGCTGAAAAAAACCATAGTACATGATATGATTAGGATTTTTTAATTATCAATATTGTACAAGTTATATTCTAAACTGAAACAAAATGAACGGGTATCCAAAAATATCACCCAATTTGTTAACAAACAGAAAATCCTTTACTTACAAATTATGTTATTACAAAAGAAAATAAATGGATATACTAGCAATGCAACCTATAATCAGGTAATTTACATGATTGTTGGGCGCAACTTAAAACAAACTCATAGCTCAGTAAGAACAATAACAACGTATTGAAAGCTGTAAAATATATTTTCCTTGTTTGTATTGTGCAATTAAAAAAAACTCACCGGAAAAGCTTTACTTTCAATGTAAATTAACATGTTAAAGACTTTATAAGCACTGGCACCTTGTTATTCACTTATTCATTGTTTACATTGGAAACATTTTTAAAATGGCGTAGAATATCATAGATAATTCGTACATAAGTTTCAACAAAATCTGCAAAATAGCTTTTAAAAGTATTGTTGAAAGAAATCATAACAGTATTTTTATTTCACAATTAATTATACATGACAATGCCAGATAATCATTCAAAAATGGCTAATTTTGGCGAAACATTTAAAATGGAATAAAAGATTATCGATTTATCTTGCACTTTTTCTATTTTCAGTACAAAAGAGTTCTGTAGTGATTTAACATTTTTCAGATTCGGATATTTTTTTTTACATAGACAATGCCAGATCATTTAGGAGCAGACCAGAGAAAAACTAAAGATGACAAAGAGGACGAAAAGCCCATACAAGGTACGAAATACAAATGAACGAAAATCAGTACTGTAACTACATTATCTATTCCCTACTGAACTGGTTAGACAGAATTTTCTCAGTTGTTTTGAATTTTTTGGAGATAAATGCGTTTCATTTTGTAATTTTAAGAATATGCAAACTTGCTATTTCTAAGCATTGCTTGGATCAATACAAAAACTTTCAGCATACTGTGTTGAAAAGAAATATTGTATTCATCTGTTCATTGAAATGGGAAAGTTTTATTTTAAATTTCATAAATTTCATAATGTTGTTATGTTCCACACACCTATTTAGTTTGTAGTCAACTCAACTCAAAGATAACCTTAGAGACTTATTATGCATGTAAACTTTTGAATAAGATATACTGTCTTAACAAACAGATGGAAGTTAGAGTAGCATTGTAACCTGGAATTTTTTTTTTTGTTTTTTGTTTTTGCTAAAGCAGAGATTTCATATAAGTTAAAGTAGTATGAACCCTTTTAATATTTTTAGCTCACCTCGATGAAGTCGAGATGAGCTTATGCTATACTCCCTGCTTCGGCATTAGTGTCGGCGTCCCGGTTCAAGTTTTAGGAGCAGGTCCATTTCCAAGTAACTATAAGCCCTACCTGGAACAAACTTTCATGGATGATGCATCTAGGGATGGACACTACCACACTTGCTTCGGATGCTGGATCTGACCTAAATTTTCCAGATAAGTGACCAGGTTTAAAGTTCTCGGAGCAGGTCCATTCCCAAGTAACTATTAGTCCTACTTCAACAAAGCTTGCATGGATATTGATCTTGGGATGTACACTAACTAGAAAAAAAATATGATGTGAAATTTGTCTTACTTATAAATAACATTCATCGAGGTGAGCTTCGTAATCTTTGATTACCTATGTTTTAATATTTTTAAGGTATTTTCTGATATCAAAAATAAGAATTTCTGATATCAAAAAATCATTTTGTTATCTCAGAAATTCAGTTTGATTTTTTGATATCACAAAATCAATATTTTTGATATCAGAAATTCAACAAATATACAGTAGACTAAGTGTTAAATCTAAAGCTAACTAGCATATGGTGTGGTGCCATCATGTTTTTCTCAGTACCATGCCCTTTTATCCAGCACCATGCCCTTTTTTGCTTGCCAAAAATAAATAAATATGCCCAATAGATAGTTTTCGTATGACGTATTTTCCCTGCGAGTTACTTCCCTTGGTCGCCATCTTGGAGGTCTATCTAGCAAATTTTCCTATTTGAGCATTCAATTTTATCCTCATATGGCAGAAATATAAAGGCAAAAATCTTTAAAATACTAAAATTACGAATTAAAGGAAGCTTGTTTTAACATAAATTTGAAAGAAAAATTGTACAATTTTTACCCGATTTCCCAGTATGACAAGTTGAAATTGGTTGAGTAATGAAGGAATTCGGGCTTGTACACCTCCAATATGGTGACTAAGGGGAAATAACTCTTGCTTAAATCATGTGTCTATCGAAAACTATCTATAGTACGTGGTAAGATTCACTAGCTGCTCTGTTTATTCAGTGCATGCTGATTAGTCCCTTTGTTTCTTTAATGCACACAAAGGTGTGAATTTAGGACAGGAAATCACCTTTTGCTTGAACACACACAGCCACGTGGCCCATATATCTTAAAATATCTGCCAGGGGATTCTCTGCTGCTTAGAAATGAATGAAGTATAATTCTTAATTTGACTTACAAAGATTATTTCTGAAAAAATACACAAGCAGTATTTGTAACATATAATCTTGATCACCCTCGTTTATTAAAAATATCTGGCAACGATTGAGTCATTGACTGAGCCCTTAGATTGTAACATACACTGTATTATGTTGTGGGAAATGATTTTTTTTTTTTTTAAATCAGATCAAATGTTGGAACCACATTTATATCTAAACTTTTCAGTACTGAACTGAATTCTTCTTTTCCCTAGCCAAAGTGCTCAGGTGAGTAATGTGGCCCATGGGCCTCTTGTTTAAAATCATATAAACATTATTCTATGGTGGTACAAGTAACTTGTCCGATCGAACAAGTGTGTCTGGAGATTGACATGTCCGATTAAAAAAAGAACTGGAGACAGACAATTGGACCAATTTTATATTTGAGCTCTGATGGGTTCAAACAGTTGCAGTTCATTATCTCGAACACGGATATCTTGAATACCATGGATATGTCAAAGTGATTTGGAAGTCCCAAGCACTTTATCTTTAAGTGTTTTACCCTCAATATCTGGAAGCCTCAAATATCTCGAAGTTTTTTCTAGGTCCCATCGAGTTTGAGATAACAAGGTTTGAATGTATTAATATGATGATATATTGATTGGCTTATAGCTTCTTTTTTACCAGTTCTTTTAAAGTAAAGGAATTCAACACTAATAATGAGTTGATGTTAATGTATTTTGTTGGTTTGAAAAAGGATCAAAGCAAAAATTGCATAAAAACTGTATTAATTTTATTTTATTTTTCAGCTTTGGATGAAGGGGATATTGCCTTACTGAAAACATATGTAAGTAAATAAAATTTGAATCTGCTAACCTACATGTATGATATGCTAACCTACATGTATGATATAGGAAAATCTAAATATTGTAAATAACATTAATTCTCGAGAACTTTATTTCCATATAATTTCCTGGTATGTGAGACCGACTGCTTGCAAAAAATTTCATTCTTTCAATAATGTATACTTGTATTATAAAAGATTAATATATACATTGTACAACAAGAACCAACATTTGTGATTTTATTTTCTTGGCAATAAATATTAAATAGCTATCTCACAAAAATAAGATGTCACAAAAATTTGGTGATCTGCATAAAATCAGTGAAGATCACTTTAAAATCAAATCAATGGAAAAGCTTTGTCCTGAAGCTTGTAGATTTGTATGTTTTGAGATTTTCATTTCAGAAACGCATATTGCATGACTGCATACATCACTGTTTGTTTACATTTTACATGTAAATGAATCCTTCTATAACAGGATTCATGTTTTTAAATCATGTCACTAAATTTATATGCTCATACTTTATAATTATCTTGTGTTTGGACAAAAAAGTCAGATATTTAACCTACAATCTGAATGTCATATTCTGCAGGCTTCTTTAAGTACTGCGTGCAGTTGCATACAGTCAAATGTATTCCTTTCAAAATGTTTCCATCAATCATTGTCTTTTATTGGCCCATAGATTTCTTGCTAAAGATTAAAGAAATTATACATAGACAGGTATAATGTTGTTTTTCTGTAGTTTATTATATTTTTTTTCTTTTTTGTCAACAGGGAGTAGGGCAGTATAGTAAAGCCATAAAAAGTGTGGAGGAAGATATTCAAAATGGGGTCAAAAAGGTCAATGAATTAGCAGGTAAACAGCATCATGTTTTGTTATAAGTCTTTGTTTAGAAGAGTTTTATGTGTTATGAAGTCAACTATTTAGCAATTGGGATGTTTTTTTTTTTTGAATCTGCAAAAATTTAAGTCTGTAAAAATGTCATTTGCTACATTTTGCATATGATTTATTAAGTTAAATCTACAAATAGTAACACATTAGTATATCTGTACCTTAATTTTGGTTTAATGTACATCTTAGGAATCAAGGAGTCAGATACAGGACTAGCCCCTCCTGCTCTTTGGGATTTAGCTGCAGACAAACAGACACTTCAAAGTAAGTTCATTATTTCAATTTTATCAACTGAAGATTACAATGATGTTTAAAAAATTGCTGTCATACTAATTATTGAAAATCTCGTCCTATTTCTTAAATGAAAATTGTCTCCATCCTTTACCTTACAGGTGAACAGCCATTACAAGTAGCCAGGTGTACAAAAATCATAAATGCAGACTCAGATGACCCCAAATATATCATAAATGTTAAGCAGTTTGCCAAGTTTGTGGTGGATCTAGGGGACCAGGTGGCACCTACTGACATAGAGGAAGGAATGAGGGTGGGGTAGGGCCACAATTCTTCTTAATTAAATACAAAAACAGAAAAAAAATTGTGTTTGCATATGTGGAATTTCTTGTACATGTTAAAATGTGATGCTGGGTTCTCCCAGGTAAAAAAAATCCTCAAGTAATTTATTAATCCACTTAGTATATGAATCTACTAACTCTATTTCTTTACAGAGTGGACAGAAACAAATATCAAATCCACATTCCTCTACCCCCAAAGATTGACCCTTCAGTCACAATGATGCAAGTGGAGGAGAAGCCAGATGTGACATACAGTGATGTGGGAGGATGTAAGGAACAGATTGACAAGCTTAGGGAAGTGGTGGAAACCCCATTACTACATGTAAGTTACTTCATGAATGACAAAGTAATACCTAAGTAACAGGAAGTGGTGGAAACCCCATTTCTACATGTATATTACACCATGACAAAGTAATATCTAAGTAACAGGAAGTGGTGGAAACCCCATTTCTACATGTACATTACACCATGACAAAGTAATATCTAAGTAACAGGAAGTGGTGGAAACCCCATTTCTACATGTAAGTTACATCATGACAAAGTAATATCAAAGTAACAGGAAAGTGATGGAAACCCCATTACTACATGTAAATTACACCATGTCAAAGTAATATCTGAGTAACAGGAAAGTGATGGAAACCCCATTACTACATGTAAATTACACCATGTCAAAGTAATATCTGAGTAACAGGAAAGTGATGGAAACCCCATTACTACATGTAAGTCACATCATGACAAAGTAATATCTAAGTTACAGCAGAAAGTGATGGAAACCTCCTTACTACATGTAAGTTACACCAGACAAAGTAATAACAAAGTAACAGGTAGTGATAGAAACCCCATTACTACATATAAGTTACACCATGTCAAAGTATTAAATATTGAAGTAACAGGAAGTGGTGGAAACCCACATGTTAGTCATATCATGTCAAAGTAATATCAAAGTAATTGTGGAAACCCTCTAAGTACTAGTACTGAAGCCTATGTAGACCTTTCAAAAATTTTTTTGAATTTGATAAAACTAATTACGAATTGTCAGACTTGGCCAGTGCGTCAGATTGTGACATTAAGGGGTAAAGAGTTAACAAATTTAATTTGTTACAAATTTTACAATTTGTTTAAACAAATTTAAGTCCTTAGGCCTAAAAAATTTAATGACTTGGTTCTTAAGCCAGTTTTCTCAAAAATAAATGTGATACATGACCAAACTTAATCTTGAGGCCTTAACCTATTTACTCGATGGCCATATTTGGAATTTTTAAATAGACCACTAGTCTGGATCATCTTGATTTGTTAAACGTTTTACTGATGGGAGTATCAAAAATGCTGTCAAAATGTGGTCAGGGATTCCTGATTTTTAGGTCACCTGAGTCACTCAGGTGACCTATTGCTATCCGTTTTTGTCTGTCGTCGTGCGTCGTGCGATGTGCGTTAACATTTGAAAATTTTCAGCTTCTTCTCTGAAACCGCTCAACCAATTTCAACCAAATTTGGCATATAGCATTTATGGGTGAAGGGGAACAAAAATTGTGAATTTCATGGTCCCTGCCCCCCTGGGGCCTGAGGGGTGGGGCTAAAACTACCAAAATTAATGCAGTCTTTAAAAATCTTCTTTACTCCTGGACATCAAGCAGTCAAACAGTTGGCATGATTGTAATAAGCATTGAGCCCTCTACCAAAATTGTGAAATTCATGGCCCCAGGGTCAGTGGTTCTGGTGCTAGGATGGGGCTATGTAGGTCATATAGTGAAAGTGCATTATTTCTTTGAAAATATTCTCTGCTCCTGGGAATCAAATAAACTAACTAAGTACATAGTTATGAAGAGCAAGAGTGCCTTATCCAAAATTGTGAATTTCATGGCCCCAGGGTCAGGGTTTCTGGTGTTAGGGCGGGGCTCTGTTGATTATATAGTGAAAATGCATTATTTCTTTGAAAATCTTCTTCTCTGCTCCTGGGTATTTAATAAACTAATTAAGTAAATAGTTATGATGAGCAAGAATGCCTTTTCCAAAATTGTGAATTTCATGGCCCCAGGGTCAGGGGTTCTGGTGTAAGGGCGGGGCTATATAGATCATATAGTGAAAGTGCATTATTTCTTTGAAAATCTTCTTCTCTGCTCCTAGGTATTAAATAAACTAACTAAGTACATAGTTATGATGAGAAAGAATGCCTTTTTCAAAATTGTGAATTTCATGGCCCCAGGGTCAGGGGTTCTGGTGTAAGGGCGGGGCTATATAGATCAAATAGTAAAAGTGCATTATTTCTTTGAAAATATTCTTCTCTACTCCTGTGTATTATTTAAACAAACTAAAAACATAGTTATGATAAGCAATGATGCCTCTTCCAAAATTGTGAATTTCATGGCCCCTGGATCAGGGTTTCTAGTGTTAGGGTGGGGCTCTATTTATTATATAGTGAAAATGCATTATTTCTTTGAAAATCTTCTTCTCTGCTCCTGGGTATTATTTCAACAAACTAAGTACATTGTAATGATAAGCAAGGATGCCTCTTCCAAAATTGTGAAATTCATGGCCCCAGGGACAGGGGTTCTGATGTAAGGGCGGGGCTATATAGATCATATAGTGAAAGTGCATTATTTCTTTGAAAATCTTCTTCTCTGCTCCTAGGTATTAAATAAACTAAGTAAGTACATAGTTATGATGAGAAAGAATGCCTTTTCCAAAATTGTGAATTTCATGGCCCCAGGGTCAGGGGTTCTGGTGTAAGGGCGGGGCTATATAGATCATATAGTGAAAGTGCATTATTTCTTTGAAAATATTCTTCTCTACTCCTGGGTATTATTTAAACAAACTAAAAACAAAGTTATGATAAGCAATGATGCCTCTTCCAAAATTGTGAATTCCATGGCCCCTGGATCAGGGGTTCTAGTGTTAGGGTGGGGCTCTATTTATTATATAGTGAAAATGCATTATTTCTTTGAAAATCTTCTTCTCTGCTCCTGGGTATTATTTAAACAAACTAAGTACATTGTAATGATAAGCAAGGATGCCTCTTCCAAAATTGTGAAATTCATGGCCCCAGGGACAGGGGTTCTGATGTAAGGGCGGGGCTATATAGATCATATAGTGAAAGTGCATTATTTCTTTGAAAATCTTCTTCTCTGCTCCTAGGTATTAAATAAACTAAGTAAGTACATAGTTATGATGAGAAAGAATGCCTCTTCCAAAATTGTGAATTTCATGGCCCCTGGTTCAGGGGTTCTAGTGTTAGGGTGGGGCTCTATTTATTATATAGTGAAAATGTATTATTTCTTTGAAAATCTTCTTCTCTGCTCCTGGGTATTATTTAAACAAACTAAGTACATTGTAATGATAAGCAAGGATGCCTCTTCCAAAATTGTGAAATTCATGGCCCCAGGGACAGGGGTTCTGGTGCTAGGGCAGGGCTATATAGATCCTATAGTGAAGGTGATTTATTTCTTTGAAAATATTCTTCTCTGCCCCTGGGTATTATTTAAACAAACTAAGTACATTGTTATGATATGCAAGGATGCTTCTTCCAAAATTATGAATTTCATGGCCCCTGGGTCAAGGGCTCTGGTGAAAAGGGGGGGGGGGCTCTATTGATTAGATAGTGAAAAAGCAAAATTTCTTTGTAAATATTCCTTTCTGCTTCTGGTTAAAAAGCAAAGAAGCTATGTGTATAGTTATGATGAGCAAGAGTGCTTCTTTCAGAGTAGTGAATTGCATGAACCCTGGGTCAGATGTGCTGGTGTAAGGGTGGGGCTCTTGATAATATAGTGAAAATGCATTAATTCTATTTAATAATCCTGTCTGCTTCTTAGTGTTAAGCAGATAAACAAAGTGATTACTTATAATGAGCAAACTTCTGGTCCCAGGGTCAGAGGCTCTGGTGTTTCTCGGTGGGGAGGGGGGCTCTATTGATAATATAGTGAATCTGTAGTAAAAATGCGTTATTTCTTTAAAAATCTTCTCTGCACCTGGGCATATCAGAGGCAAAAGGAGTAAATGTTTTAATAAGGAAGGGTATTTTTTACCAGATTTTTGAACATCCGGACCATTTGGTCAAGTGTTCTGGTCTTGGCAAGGGCTCTATTAATTTGTATTCTTCTGAGAGGAGTTATTCCCCTTTGCCATTTACTTTTGATAATTAATCACTGTAAATAATGTACTTGAAAGGTTAATAGAATAAGAGAATTATGCAAGAATTTTTATTGTATAATATAAAAAGTACTTTCATAGTTTTAATGATCAGTTAGACTTTTAAGTAATAGATAAATAAAAATGAGACAAAATAACTTGTCTTATTAAATGTTCATCAAAGACCAAGAAAGGCCAATGTAAGAGTTTTGAACAAGGAATTAAAATAGTATAGAAGAACTGATAATTTGTTAATATACTGTATGGTGATGGTGATAAATGGGGAACAGATTAGAACCTAATTTATGAACTGTTACTGAATGCTAGACTAATTATTTTGTTGATCCTGATCATCCTATATTTCTTGCTTTTGGGCAACAAAGCTTCACCTTTCAGTTCATTTTATACTCTATGGATCCTCTAAATTGTTGTATTATACTCAGGTGACTGTTAAGGCCCTTGGGCCTCTTGTTTTTTTTTTTTTTTTTTTTGGCACTGCACAATTGCATGAGAGAAATTTTATTTTATTCATTTGAAGATAAAAATGGTTATAAGATGTAGCACACAAATTACTCCACACCAAAGGACCATTATGATAATAATCTTATTCTATTCCACCATCATATTCCAGAGTTTGTCATGCATTATCCAGAGGCTTATGGCTTATATGAGCTATTTCAATATCTTTTTAGACATGCCTAGAAGTACATTATGTATTGAATGTAGTTAAAATTAAAAAATTGATAGAAGGAAAATTTGGTATTTTTTTTTTTTAGCCCGAACGTTTTGTTAACTTGGGCATTGAGCCCCCAAAGGGTGTATTGTTATTTGGACCACCAGGAACAGGCAAAACATTGTGTGCCCGAGCTGTGGCCAACCGCACAGATGCCTGCTTTATCCGAGTCATCGGTTCAGAACTTGTGCAGAAATATGTCGGGGAGGTAAGATAGATGTTTAGACTTTCCACATCAAAATTTCAAACTTAAAAGGAAGAACCTGAGATATTGAATGGATTTTAACGTTAATATTGTAGGGTGCCAGAATGGTACGTGAACTGTTTGAAATGGCCAGAAACAAAAAAGCCTGCATTATTTTCTTTGATGAAATAGATGCTGTTGGAGGTATAGTCATTGAAAAATAATTTTTTGATGCGATTTTATCTACTTTTCTTTTCTTTTACCTCAACCTTGAAATGGTTACAAATATTATACACACATATGAAAGACATCACACAGTGTTCGAAAACAAAATGAAGGACATAAAAATTTTATTCCATGACTGATATCATCTGGTTTAAGGGATTAATTGTATAAAGCTTCTGTGTAAAAAAGAATGTGATATGATGTATTTTTGGGACAGGTGCTCGTTTTGATGATGGAGCTGGGGGTGACAATGAAGTCCAGAGGACAATGCTAGAGTTAATCAACCAGCTAGATGGTTTTGATCCCCGTGGTAACATTAAAGTTCTCATGGCAACTAACAGACCAGACACCCTGGATCCTGCACTGATGAGACCCGGGCGTTTGGACAGGAAAATAGAATTTGGTCTACCAGATCTAGAGGTATAGGAGAATTATATAAAAACAGAATTTGTTCTCCCACATCTAGTGGTAGAGGAGAATTAAATAAAAATAGAATTTGTTCTCCCACATCTAGAGGTTGAGGAGAATTAAATAAAAATAGAATTTGTTCACCCACATCTAGTGGTAGAGAAGAATTAAATAATTTTTTTTTCTGTTGGCAGAAATATATATTTTTTTGTCAGCAGAAAAAGTGAAAATATTTAAATCAATATATGTATTTCCTTTGTAGGGAAGATCTCACATATTTAAGATCCATGCCAGATCTATGAGTGTAGAAAAAGACATCAGATACGAACTACTGGCTAGACTGTGTCCCAACAGCACAGGTTAGTGACAATATAAAAATAACATGACATTAGCATTTACAACAGTTATTGAATGGTAACATCTTTTAGCTCTATTGGTGAGAGTCCATCTGTCTGTCCATATATCTGTAAACAATGTTTCAAAATGCCTTTCCCCCTACAGTTTTGGTCTGATTTTGCATAGTGCATCAGTTTTTTCAATGAACAGTGTTGCCATGGTTACAGAAGATAGAAATTTCTGTGAAATAACTTCAAATCACTACTTCTCCTACAGTTTTGGTCTGATTTCAATATAACTTGGCACACATGTAGACCACACTAAGATACATATTTTTTTTGAAGGGGGGATTTAGATGATCTGTGTTGCGTTGGTTACAAAAATAGAAGTTTCTTTTAATTACTTTCAATTAATTTCTCCTCCTGCAGTTTTAGTCTGATTTCAATCTAACTTGGCACACAAGTAGACTACACTAAGATACATAATTCTATTTAACAGTTTTTGATTTTGATGAACGGTGTTGCCATGGTTTCTAAAAATAGAAATATCTGTGGAAAACTTTCAAAACACTACTTCTCCTACAGTTTTGGTCTGATTTTAATATTATTTGGCACATAAGTAGACTACACTAAGAAAAAACATTCTTAACTATGGATCATGGGGGGGGGGACCCTACCCCACCTCCTCTAGATCCGCCCATGTATTATAAAAAGTATATGGTGTCAGTTAGAACCTGTTGTAGTTCTGATCCTTGTAGTGATTGATTATACTGTTTTATAGGAGCTGAAATCCGCAGTGTTTGTACTGAAGCTGGTATGTTTGCCATTAGAGCTAGAAGGAAAATGGCCACCGAAAAAGACTTTTTAGAAGCAGTGAACAAAGTGATTAAGGCATACGCTAAGTTTAGTTCCACTCCTAGATATATGACATACAACTAGACCATGTAAAATAAGCAATTGTTCATGTGACTTCATTTATCAGGATCTGTTTATAAACAGAGGGAGTCTTGTTATGGTAACATAATTCTGGATCAGCAAATAAATGTTTTGACAACTGATCAACTTTGACTTGTGTTTGCGTTTTAGCAGTTTAATATAATTCTTTTGTCATGAAATGTTAGATTTGTTTTAAACAAGACACACAATGATTGATAGAAATATAACTCTGAAATGAATTGATATTTATATTGTATATAGTAAATATGAGGGTTGTTCAAAAAGTTCGCAGATAGTTTTAATCTCTGTTACGAAAGTTGATCCAAAAGTAAGCCCAACTGCTATCAAATCTTTAATACTTATAGTAATCAGATGTTTAATACTTATAGTAATCAGATGTTTAATACTTATAGTAATCAGATGTTTAATATTAACAAAATTTGACATACTAATGTCCTGTCCTTATCTTTTTTGATTTTTTGTATTAAAATTTCATTGTATAAAATTTCATTATATAAAATGTATTAAAATTTCATTCGATAAAATACTTTTTAAAATATTAAGATAAACACAACGTTAGGTTTTGACTATCCCACACGGCAAGAATGTACCGCCGTCGTTGTGAGGTTACTTTTTGGCACTCATTTTCATCAGCATTTCTTTTTACCTCTCGGGTGTTTCTTTTCAATAATATTTACTGCTTCTAGTATTTTGCTTAAACCGTCTTGTTCATTAGATTCAAAATTAGTGTCGAAGAGAAACGTAGTTACATTATTAACGGGCGGTGATAGACGGGACATAAAGCTGTGTGTACTTAAATATAAAGTTTTGCATATATCTGAATGAAATTAAAAGGCAAAAGTTAAAATAGATAGAGGTATTAGTATGTTAAGATTTGATGAAAACTTTCGATTATTAAAAATTTTATAGCAGTTGTAACATTTCTTTTGGATCAACCAAAGTATAATCAAGAAATTCAAGATCAGCACATTATCATATGTTAAAGATGTTTAGCGCGATGTTGGTGCCATTTCACAATTTTAGTACCAGACCTATTAATAATAAACCCACCGATGATTTCAAAACCATACTCGCAATATGGCCTCATTGTGACTTCACTTTAGCGCGAGTTTCTATGCGTGAGTATACAAAAAAAGGCATTCAAATTAATGTTATAGTAGGTTTTTTTTTTTTTTTTTTTTTTTTTAGAAAATCACAGCAAATGTTAATATATCAAAATAATGTGATTTTCTTATGGATTTAAGATATTTCATTAAGGTTGATATCAAACTGCATGCTTTGTAGCGAATAAATGGATTACAAGTTCAAAAAATGTCCAGTTTCAAATGACGTGCAAAAATAAGATCCAGCCGTTTTTCGCGGGGTCAAATTCTCATTTTTTTTTCATCGATTACAAAATTAATTATACGTTCATAATGTGCTAATCCAAACGGGCAGAATGAATGTCAGATTAATTAATTTACTCGGTTAAGGATATCCGATCCTCAGCCAGGAAGGATAACTCTTGAATTTATTATTTTATTTAAAAAGTCTCAAAATGAAGCTTGAAATTGAGATCTTATCATTTTATGCATCTTAATATGATTCAAGGTTCTTTGAAGTCTTAGAAACGGTCTTGTAAAAAGTTGACATTTGTACCCCATAAAAGAAAAAATGAATTCATTTTTAGAGAAATCGAATTTCCTTTAGTCTAGCATTAGATACCACTGCTTATTAGCATGATATGAAATTAGGTGTGATATGTGATGTCTTGTAATGTTAGCTTAAGCTTTTTACACTGTGTATTATATAACAATTGAAGTAAAAAGAAAAACTAAAATACTGTACAAGCATAAAAACGATGCAATTTTCTAAATGCCTGGATACCTATATCTTTCTATCCTAAATTATATTTGTTGATCAATTTTCAATTAGAAAATGCATAACTGGTGTTTTTATTCGCATTTCCTGAAAATGTATTTGAGATTTGATAATTTTTCTCTATATGATATGACTAACTATAACGATGAACTTTGAAGAAATTCCATGGGTAAATTCACGTTACTATGTGAAATCACAGACATTTTTGTGAGTATTTTCAATTACTTTTAAAAAAGCTGATTTTCAGAACCTGAGGAGCGGACTACCTTAATCAATATCTAACATTTAGGAGGTTCAGTATATGTGTCCAATGGACGTTCTTAACACATAATTCGCTTTGTTTGAACCACAGGTACTTGTGGACAGGACCCCCCCCCCCCCCCCCCCCGCGATATTCAACCCCGGGGCTTGATGGACATTTTTTTTTTTTTTTTTTTTTTTACAAATTATATTTATTGCACTTATTCATCATGTGTACCATAGGAAAAAATCGTGAAAACCCCAAAATAATCGTTCCACACAAAAAATGCCTCATTGCATTATAGAGAGAAAGGTATGCCACTCCGGTTTGTTTACGTTGTACCCCCACTGGTCTTTCTGGGTTTAAAAACATATATTTATTTTATTTTAACCTAAAATGTCGGTTCACACTGTCTCTACATATATTTCTATCTTAGTTCATTCTATCGGATTGACTCTGCATCTCGTAAGAATCCCACAATTTCTCCTTAAAGAACATTGCAGTAAGTGCGTTGAAAAATCCTTAGGTAAACGCAACGGAAGTACACCAAGAATGTATAACTTATTACGATAACGTCTGAGAGAGTTTTGGCCCGACGTAATAATCTCTCTCGGTAATATATTCTCTATGCACTTCCGTTGCGTTTACCTAAGGATTTTTCAACTGACTGCTATGCTGTTTAAGGAGAAATTGTGGGATTCGTACTGATGCAAAGTCAATCCGATAGCATGAACTTATAAAAGTAATATAATATAAAAATATAGGTAGAGACTGTGAACCGTTAGGTTAAAATAAATATATGTTTTTAAACCCAGAAAGACCAGTGGGGTTACAACGTAAACAAACCTGAGTGGCATACCTTTCTCTCTTATTATGTATAGTGGGGTATTTTTGTGTGGAACGATTATTTTGGGGTTTTCACGATTTTTTCCTATGGTACACATGGTGAATAAGTGTAATAAATATAATTTGTGAAAAAAAAATGTCCAACACACATCGGGGTTGAATTGGGGGGGGGGGGTCCTGTCCACAAGTACCTGTGATAGCAGTCAGTGCGTTGAAAAATCCTTAGGTAAACGCAACGGAAGTGCATAGAGAATATATTACCTATTATGATAATACCCGAGAGAGATTATTACGTCAGGCCAAAACTCTCTCGGACGTTATCGTAATAAGTTATACATTCTTGGTGTACTTCCGTTGCGTTTACCTAAGGATTTTTCAACGCACTTACTGCAATGTTCTTTAAGGAGAAATTGTGGGATTCTTACGAGATGCAGAGTCAATCCGATAGAATGAACTAAGATAGAAATATATGTAGCGACAGTGTGAACCGACATTTTAGGTTAAAATAAAATAAATATATGTTTTTAAACCCAGAAAGTCCAGTGGGGGTATAACGTAAACAAACCGGAGTGGCATACCTTTCTCTCTTATAATGTATACTAGATGAAATCCCGCGCAAGCGCGGGGAATTGAATTTACACCACTACCGACAGAAAATATATTGTAGTTTCTACTGACAGCCTACAGGCTTATAGAAGGAATACTTTGTTCAAAATCCCACAGGAAGTAAATGTACGCCTCCACCCCCACCCCCTTTTTGTAAAATCTTGAAAAATAACAATATCATTTAATTGACATTTATTGTGAAACCTGTTATACAATGTTATGGATATTGTACTTCAGATGTTCTTATTTCATTTCCGCCAAGGATAAAAAGAGTGAATATAAATAATATTTGATATTTGATAAATTGATTTTTTTGGGGGGGGGGGGTCATAGGTACTTGGGTCTTGGTTTATAAATATGTATGTACCTTATTGATATGTAAAAAATGTACTTTACCTTTTTTACATATCAATAAGGTACCCGGTACATACATATTTATATACCAAGACCCAAGTACCTGTGTAAAAATTAGCTGTTTAACGCCCTATGAATAGGCCGAGTATTTGATACAAAAGACTGCATTCAGAAAACAAAACTGAAATGTATTGATTAAAGCACAAAATGTAACAGCTCTAATTATATTTGAACAATACCTTATTCATTAATTTTCTTTTTTCATGTAAGCAAGTTTATTACGAAGTACAAATTGTACTTCGGGTTCGTTGCCACGATGCTCTCAGTAAGGAAAATACAAATTTTACCGATAAATTTATTAGAAAAACCTACTACATATATGTAATAGTCTTTCGATATATAAATATATTCACAACTTATAGTGTTATCAATGATTTACCATTACTTCAATGACCATTCACACAAAAGCTTTTTTTATGTTCATGCAGCTACATGTACAATCGCCTCGTTTTTCTTTTTAACATCGGGCTCGATGCTACATGATGTTCTAGAAGCTTCCGTCAATATTAAGATTGGCGAATGATAAAAATGATTTGCACATTTCCCTTTTTAATTGGTTATCACAACTTATTTCTTTTATATCATTTAAATCAAGTTTTGATTGAATAATAAAGTGATAACGTTTTATGAAATAAATAAACGATTGCTTGTTGTCAGTTTCATTAAAAACTGCGAGTAACTTAGATCCGCCAACCGGAAACGCCACCGTACTCACGTTTTTGCTATTTCATGGCTGTTTATAGAAAATAAAAGTAGACTTTTTATTTAATGTGCGACACTTACTATGCGAGTGAAATCTAAATATAGTTTACGGACATCATCTTGTATATAGTGTATTGTCAGAGGAGTAAGTAAGAACTCTGGTGCATCCGTTTCGGAGTTTATTTGTAAAATTTATTAATTTATAAGTATAGAATAATGAGGCATTTTTTGTGTGGAACGATTATTTTGGGGTTTTCACGATTTTTTCCTATGGTACACATGATGAATAAGTGCAATAAGTATAATTTGTATTAAAAAAAAAAAAATGTCCATCAAGCCCCGGGGTTGAATATCGCGGGGGTGGGGGGTTCCTGTCCACAAGTACCTGTGTTTAAGAGAGGTCTGACTAATTTTAAAACAATTGTTATCATA